CTGCTCCCAGCCACCCCCACACTCAGCGGCCCTGGACTGCAAAGACAGCGGGGATAAGCCTCACCCGGTTCTGGCTGCGGCTCCGCGGAACGAACCTCCCCTCCCCCGGCCCACCCCCCTTCGGCGACACGCACAACTCCACTCGGTCCAGTCCCGGCTTTAGCGCTGGTGAGCAGGAGGAGGAGGCGGAGGCGGCGGTGCGGCCGAGCCCCGGGAGGCCCCGCCCTCCGCATGCTTATTGGCTGAAGGCGGAGGCGGGCCAGAGCCCTTCGGGCACATCCATAGGCTACACCTGCTTTCCTTCAGGACCCCCCCTTGGTGGGGTGGTCCATGCGACTGTCCGTCAGTCTCGGGCCACACCTCCGGCTCTGCCGTTCCACTCCCCCCTCCGCGGGTCTTCGGCTTCGGCCGCGTCCCCTCCCCTAGCTGCCCCCGCCCCCACCCACCAGGTCCGCCAGGGTCAGGAGCCCAGGTTGTCTTGCCCGCCGAACCGGCCCCGGCTCCGCTCGGGTCCCCGGCTCTCGGGAACGGGATAGCAGGAGCGACTGAAGTGGGGCTGCCTGCCCTCGCTCGGGCCCGGGCCTGGGCGTCCAGGCCGTCGCCGCGGCTCCCAACGAATCCGCCCGAGGAGAGACGCGGCCTCGATGCCCCAACGTCCACCCTGTCCAGTCCCTGGAAGGCACCCGCGAGGGGAGAGGCCGGGGGGCACTCGAGCGAGGAGAGGGGGAGGTCGGGAACGCGGCTGAACTGGGTACCTGGGCCCTTTGAGGGCCGTGGCGGCGCCTCCACCCTCGCCTCGCCCCCGTGGGGAACAGTCCCCCCACCTCCCGTCATGGCTGCAGCAGGAGGAGACGACGTCCTCCATTTTGTTGGAACTGCTGGGGGAACTTGGGACCCATTCAGAACCAAACCCCGTGGGACTGGGAAACTTGTCCCCGAGCAGCCCCGACTGGACTCTGGTTCGGCGGAGGGAATGGCTCCCGATTTCATAGTGCGAGTCCGCGGGGCCATGGTGGGCAGCGCGACCCGGGGTAGACCCGGATGCCGCTGCCCACTTCCATCAGCCAAGATGGAGGGAGTTGCGGGCTCCCCGGATCGGGGCTTCTGCCCGCCAGAAGGACCAAACTGTCGCGGGGCGTCTTTCAGCGTCGCCGTCGCCATCGTCGGCGCGGCAGCCCAGGCGTTGGCCCTCCCACACCTCCACCATCTCCTGGTCCTCAATGGTTGATGGAGGCCCCACTCTATCACCCGCATCATCACTGAGGCCCGTGGAGCCCTGCTGGGTTCAGACGGCGCCGTGTGCCCCGGGAGGGTGGTCCAGCTCGAGGATCTTATCTTTTGTTCCTTGTCTACACCTACGTCTTCGGTGGACGTCATGGTGTTGATTTCCAAGACTCCACTTAAAGATGGAAGTGATGCCTCTCGCGTCTGGCCCTGGCGGTGCTTACTGGGATTACAACTGATGGTTGTTGGATACTTCCCCACCAAATGGATGGATGAATTAGACCTCTCAATTTCAAAATTGTGTGACAGCCCTGTCTATTAATAAGACATGTGATATTACAATATAAAGCTCTACAGAATGAGGAACGTGAAGTTTTTAATGAAGTTAGTCATCCATAAAGGACTCTAAAATAAAACTGTAAACTCCAATAGACACCATTTACAATTAGGATAATCCAGTAGAAATTGAGATGCAGTCATTATCTGTAAGAATTAATCCTTCCATCCGAGGCCAAATGCCACATACTGCATTCTTTTATTAGTTGAAAAATATCCACAGTGGCTTTTAAAAACTATCACTCATTTTACAGGATCATAATTACAAAATTTCTCAGTTCTCAATAGAAAAAATATATCCTGTGAGATTTTTATATGACCCAGTACTATTTTACACTGGCATGCTTAATGTCAGTTGTCACAATGGAAATGTCCTATCTTACTAAATGTGAAGTACATTGTAATCTGAAAATGTACACGATTTTCTACTACCATGTTCTAAATCAGCTTGTTGAGTTTATAGTTAAAACACTAACTAGGAATACTTCCAACTAAGCTATGTAATAGGCTTTAATGATAGACTGAGTTGTCATATGCTATTCAATTGGAGGAAGCCATTCATTGCCATCAATTCTCTAATATTAATGCTATTTTGTAATTAATTAGAAACCACATTAATTACAGGAATGTTTTTTTATTCACTCATATTCATTCAAGCCTTTTTGTTCATAAAACTTTTCACCAGCTTACAGGCACATTATGAGAATTTTAGAGTTTAGAACAGGTTGAAAAAATAGAATTTTTTGTTAAAATTTAATTATCTTCAACTTCATGTAAAAGGACTCAAAAATAGACATCCAACTATTCATAATAGTATTATTCATAATTTCTAAAAGGCAGAAACAACCCAAATGTCCATTAACTGATGAATGGATAAACAAATATGGTATATCCATTCAGTGGAATATTATTCAGCTGTAAAAAAGAATGATGTTCTGATAAATGCTACAACATGGACAACCCTTAAAAGACATTATGCTAAGTGAAATAAACCAGACCCAGAAGAGCATATTGTATGATTCCATTTTATTGGAAATGCCTAGAATAGCCAACTCTCTAGTAACAGAGAAAGATTAGTACTTGCCTAAGCCTGGGGATATGGGAAGAAAGGAATGATAGCTAAAAGTTATGGTATTTCTTTATGGAAAGATTCAGTGGTAGAGAACCCCTGGGTTTAATCTCCAGTGCATGCGCGTGCACGCGCGCGCACACACACACACACACACACACACAAATACACACAGTTATACAATTGATTAAAGTGATTGTTGTTTTACATCTCTGAATGCTGAAAACTGTTGAACTCTACACTTTAAATTAATGAGTTGCATTGTTTGACTTATTCTTAAGCTGTAACTAAAAAATATGTGTATATATCTCTGTGTGTATGGAGTTATTCTATACCAATCACAAAGGCATACTAAGCATTATACAAAAGAAAATTGAAGAAAATACCTGAGCAGAAAACTAGTATTTCAAATAATTTTTGGCCACTCAAAACCTTAAAGAAAAAGACCCTGTATGAAATTTTAAAAATTAAAATGGGAGCTGTATCTCAGTGATAAAACACCTCTTAATTCAATCCCCTCTACAAAAAATTAAAAAAGCTTCCTTTTCTCTGAGACTTCAGAAAGTTACTTTTTCTCTTAGCCTTTCTCTTCTGCTGCAATATAAGGGATACAGCATTGGTAAGACCAAACAACTTCTGTGAAAGTAAAATGAAAAGGTATAATTGCATTTTTGAAAACCAAGAACTCACCATTGTGAGCACATATTGCTCAAGTCTGAATTCAGACATTACCCACAAATAGGTAAGTGATTTTATGCATGGGTTAACCTCTAATTCTCAGTTTCATTATGTGTAAAATAATGATGATAATTCCTCTCTCATTGAGTTTCAGGGGGATTAAATGAGCTACACATATAAAACTTGCACATTACACATGGTAGACCTCAATAAGTATAAATCATTTTCATTATTCATAATTGACTCAGAATATTACAAAACTTCTTCATAGTTTATGAAGGCCACGGTGATAATTCTACCACCAATATTGTGCTACTACATAATCCAAATAATAATAATGATTTCAATAAACAGATCAAGTAGAATTAACAAGCTTAATGTGACTGATTATTAAATAAAAATAAAACCCTGAGTAGGGTGTTTTGCAAAGGTTTATAATAATTTTAAGCAAATGTTATTTTTAGCATGCTTGACATTTATTAATTGTTTATACTCATATTAGGTTTACAGCAATCAAAAGTCAATAGTTCATTTGACCATTGGAGAAAATGGGAGAAATCCCAAAAAATGAGTTAATTATGCAATTTATATAGCAAACTGCATGTATAGTACTATATTCCATGAGTTATTCTGTTTGTTATTATCTTCTTAACAACTCTATAAAATAGTTGATATTACTTGTCCCATTTTGACAGCTGAGGAAACAAGGAAATAAAGGTCAAGGATCTTGCACAAGGTAATAGCAAGAAAATGATTAAGAGGGTCCTATCATTTGGAAGTGATTTGTACCCCAAAAATTCATGTACTAGAAGCCTGGTCCCCACTGTGATGGGTGTTGAGGTGACAGAACCTTTAAGAGGTGGTACCTACTGGAAAATAATTCAGTCATGGGGCTCCACCTTCATAAATGGATTAATGTTAGACTCTAGGAATGGATTAGCTCTCTATTAAGTGAGTTGTTACAATATGAGGATACCTATGTGCTTCAGCCCTTCTTCATGAAGCTGGTTCCCTTTACTTTTCTTTGCCGTATTATATTGCAGCCAGGGAGTGCAATATTGTTTGGACTCCCACAGCCACCAGAATCATCAGCCAAATAAACCCCTTTATTTTATTTTACCCAGCCGCAGGTGGTTTTTAGAGCAGCACAAAATGGATTAAGACGAGAGGAATCATGAACCTAGGATTTTTGGCTCTAGAGTTTGCTTTTAGTTACCTCATACCCCTGCCTCTCTAGGATAGCTTTCTCCTTAATTCTTAACATTTAACTCTTAAACATATCATCTAGATAACTTAAAACAAAACTATATAACATATTCTAAAGCAGTGGCTTATGATCTTTTTTTAACAACCACAAGGATATATTACAAGGATATACATTGTACATTGAGACCCAGTACAAACCCACCTACCTGTATAATTATATAACTAAAACACAAGATTCACAAAATCATTTGCTTCACTTCCTTAGATGCATTTTCATAGTCTCTGTTCAAGTCTATGTAAGCTACACCCACTAAATTGATTTCATGGCTTACAAAACATTGTTTGAAAAACTATACTAGAAAAGCAAACCATGGATAAGTTTAAGTTCTAAAACAGAAGGAAAAAAAACATATTACTGGAAACTGAGGTAAGCTAGATGAACTATAAGTTGCAAAATTTTTAAAAGAAGAGATATTATTAATAAGAAATAGAAGCCAGGCATGGTAGCACATTCCTGTAATCCCAGAAGATCAAGAGACTGTGGCAAGAGGATCAGAAATTCAAAGCCAGCCTCAGCAACTTTGCGTGCAAAGCCCTGTCTTTAAGTAAAACATACAAAGGACTGGGGATGTTGCTCAGTGGTTAAGCGCCCCTGGGTTCAATTGTGGTACAAAAAAGAAAAAAGAAAAGAAAAGA